GAATGTGCAGTTAAACCTCCTCAGCCTTAACCCTGTTTCCTCCATAAAGGGTGCCTATACACGTGCTCTGGAATGGGGGGGGAGGAGGGGGGCATTTTAATTACAGTGGTTCCTTAAAACGTCTCTAATTAAAACGCCCTCAGCGTCTCATGTATTCAGTGTCCCACATTTCAAAAGGTGGCAAGAGCGCTTTAACTAAAGCTTGTTTGATGAGCTGTAGTTATAGCAGCCCCACCGCCATTTTGAAACATGAGGTGCTGAATACACGAGACGCTGCAGCACATTCGAGCCTTCAGATTAGAATGCTACGGCAGAATTGAGTTGGCTCCGACATTTTCTAGTAAGATTGCGTTGGAGCACGTGTAAAAGTGAACAAAGTTGCAGCGATTTAGTTTACTTGTATCACTGCAGGCTCATGCATACATGGGAGCTGCAGCATAAGAACTGCTGTACTCTCTTTTAGCCTTTCACCTGTACGTAATCTGGGCAGATCTGGGCCAGGTTGGTAGTGGGTGTGTGCACTGTTTAAATACCACTTTTGCTAATACGGTAAAATTAACAAAAACATTATATATAATATAATTGTATATTATTTATTATTTTACTAAAAGCATACAATGAGGTGATCCATTCTACCAGTTTACACAAAATTAAAACAACATAATATATGATGATGCAAAAAAAAAAGAAGCAGCGGTGAACAATAAAATAAACAAGTGAATTCTATTTGATGTCGGCCCTTATGCTTTATGCAAGTAACTGAAGTACACTTAAGGAGTATAGGGCAGGTTCTGTATTGTCGGAGAAGCTAAATCAAATCACTCTTGGTGGTCTTGCTTATTCTTTGAAGTTGTTACCCCATTTGAAGATCTTTTTAGGGACTTGGGTATAAGTGAGCTGATGAAATCATTCCAGTTCCTACTGGCCGCTGTTTACTTCCAAAGACATCCAGTCACAGTGACTGGATTGTGTTTGAGCTTTGGGAATTGAACCCTTTTGTCCTTGCAGCTGATTCTTCCAGTCAATGTTTGAAGCACATTTGGGCCTATTGTGTTTTCAGATTTTGATAGAATTTCTTCCTGTTGGTTTCTGTAGGGACTTGTGCTCAAAACATGAATGGTATGATATAATCTAGGGACTAATATATGAAAGAAATCTTGCAGTGTTGTCTGTATATATTGAGCAGGGATCCGGGTTTTCTGTTTCCCACTGAAAAATGAAGAAAACCATAGATTTCCCAGTTTAATTGGAGAAAATGCAGATTTTCCCTTTTAGCAGGGAAACCTGTGGATTTCCCCATTTTGCAAAGAGCTCTGCAGGCTGGCTGAGTTCCAGCCTGCAAGAGCTGTTTGCAAAAGGGGTGGGAAGCCCCAGCCCTGCCTGGATGCGGAGGGAGAGGGTGAAAGAGCGGGACCCAATGCAATCACTTACTGGAGGCTGCCTCAGGAGGAGGATCAGTCTTCATTCTTGGGGGTAAGTGGGGCTTGGAGGTTGAGAGGCAGGGCTGGGGGGGAAGCTGGCTGGGAGCTGAGGGAGTGAGGATGGGTTGGGGGAAGACATGGAGTTGCCTGCCAGCTGGCAGGCACTCCTGGTGGGGTCTTCCCCAACACTTTCCCCTCCCTCAGTCTGGGCAGGTGAGGGGGGCGGAGGGAGCAGAGCATGCCCAGGGTGCGCAGTAGCAGAGGGGCACTGCCAGATCCCCACCTCAGCTCATTCTCTGCCCACTCCCAGGAGCAGGACCAGGGGAGCGAGGGCAGCAATGTCTCTATTCAGGCCACACACGTGCTGCCTGGCCAGGGGGGGAGGGGGAGCTCACATGCGGCAGCCGCCGCCCCTACTGCACTGCCTCCGCTGCACCTTGCATCGCTTCCTTGCGGCCGATGGTGAGAAAGCTGCATGGGACACGGGACACAGTGGTGTGGTGGCGGCTACCACATATTAGGCCCCCTGGGCAAGCTGGCATGTGAGACCTGCAAAAGGCCACTGTTGCCTTCACCTCTGCTTGGGGCAAGTGGTGCGGGGTGCAGTGGTGGTGGTGTAGTGGTGCTGGCAGCTGCCGCCACATGAGCAGAGGTGCAGTATGGAGGAAGCTGCTATCAGCAGTGCGGTGGCAGCGGCAGCGTGGTGGCAGTGGTGGCCACTGCATGCCAGCACCACTGCAGTGTCGCTGCTGTGCCCCACATTGCTTACCCAGAGTGAGGCCAAGGGGGTGAGGGCAGCAGCGCCCCTCAGCGAGCTGCACATGCTCGCCCAAACGGGGCGGCGGAGGCTCACACTCAGTGGCCACCACCACATCACCACGTTCTGTGCGGCTTTCCCACCGCCGACCGCGGGCAAGTGGCACGAGGTGCAGTAGCAGCGGTGCAGTGGTGGTGGTGGTGGCTGCTGTGTGCATGCACCCACCCCTCTGGCTGGGCAGTATGTGTGAGGCCCGCAGAGGGGCACTGCTGCCTTCGCTTCAGTGACCCTGCTCCTGGGAGCTGGCACAGAGTGAGTCGAGGTGTGGGGCAGGGGGACACTGCGGTGTGTTGCATGGGGCTGGCAGTGCCCCTTGCCCCTCTGCTGCTGTGCCCCGGTTCCACTCTGTTTCCCCCCTCCCCACCCACCCAGGCTGAGGGAGGGGAAGTTGTTGGGGAAAGTTCCATCAGGAGTTCCCGCCGGCCAGCAGGCACTCCATGTCTTCCCCCAACACATCCTTGCTCCCTCAGCCCCCATCCAGCTTCCCCCAAAGTGGCGGTGGTGTGATGGCGGCTGCTACATATGAGTTTCCCCCTCCCCGACTGGGTGGTGGGTGTGTGGTTCACAGAGGGGCACCGCTGCCCT